AACCAGGCTGAATGTGATTGGCTGATTGATAACCAGGCTGAATGTGAATGGCTCATTGATAACCAGGCTGAATGTGATTGGTTCGCTGATGGAGTCCAATCAGGAGAACTCAGGTTCCTGCTTTCTGCTTACAGGACCACAGAGCACGCTCCAGGAGACGTAGTCTCACCCCGGCCAGCAGGGGGCGCCAGCAGACGGGAATAATGGACATTTTCTTGGTTCTTCTGGAGAACCGTTCAGACGGCTGGAAGGTGGAACCGTCTCACAACCTGCCTGACAAATCCAGATCTTTATTAGGAAGACCTGGACCTGGACCTGGACCTGGATCTGGAGGCGTGATCATGAAGAGGCTGTTGGGAGCTGTAATTTCCCACCACCAGTGAACTTTTTTTTTTCTTCTTTTGTTCATTTTTTTTATCAGTATTTCTTTGTATTTTCTGTTATTTTATTTTTTTTAGCCCAGAACTTTCTGACAGAAACGGACCTACAGGACGTTTTGAAATAAATTGATCCAATAAGTGTTTCTGAGCTGATTAATGGACCCGATGATGTCATCAGCGGGGATCTAGAAGGTTCTGTTCAGTTAGAACCGCCTGCAGAAGCTAACGCCGGGTCTGGGTCAGGTTCTGAAGATCGGATTATATCCCGTTAGAATTTAAAAAGGAAAACCCAGCGACCTTTCAGGATCTTTATTAGCATGGAATGTTTATTTGGTACGGATCATAGAATGCATTACAATACAACAAACACTCTGTCTCACTCTTCTCACACATCGTCTGGCACACTGCTGACCTGATCTTCTCACACTCACTCTCTCACTGTCTCACACTGTCTCACACTCCATCTCACTCCGTTTCTCACTCCGTGTCACTCTCAGCCTCACCCTCTCACTCTCTCACTTCGTTTCTCACTCTCTCACTCTGTCTCACTCTGTCTCACTCTCACTCCATTTCTCACTCTGTCTCACTCCGTTTCTCACTCTCTCACTCCGTCTCACTCTGCTCTGTGGATCCAGATCCTCTGGGAGTGAGCCGTAGTGATCACCGAGCTGCATCCAGTCCGCCGCTCGGTGATCATTTAAAGTTCTGAGTCTAAACTGCTGCCGTGCTTCCAGCACCGATTGGCTCATTCGTCTGCTGGTCACTGACTGTCTGGGCGGAGTTTCTTCAGTGTGGGCGGAGCTAAAAGACCTCCTCTTCCTCACAGCCGTAATCTGGAAAACACCGGATGTTTTCATGGATGAATAATCTGTTCTCAGTTGTGGCAGAGATTAGGCGTTTAGAGTAAAGGTTCTGGACTGACCTCCAACCAGCTGCAGCGCACTGACACACTCTTCCTCCACCTCCTCCTCTTCCTCAATTTCTACAGCGGGCGGAGCTTCTGCAGGGGCGGGCTCTGTGTCAGCAACATCTTCAGGAGGAGCTTCAGATACAACCTCTGTTTCTGTTTCCATGGTAACGGCTAGTTCCACCTGAATTTGACAAGATAAACTGAATCTGAATCATGATAGGAGGCTTGGGTGCAGCCAGGTAACCTGGGTGTAACAGCAGGTAACCG